TTATATCACTATCTCTCTCTCTCTCTCTCTCTCTCTCTCTCTCTCTCTCTCTCTCTCTCTCTCTCTTTATTTCTCTCTTTCTCTCTCTCTCACTCACACACACACACACACTGTCTCTCTCTTTATCTGTCTCTCTGTCTCTGTCTCTGTCTCTCTCTCTCTTCTCTGTGGCCTGGTTGGAGCCCTGATGGAAAAGATTTTTAGGTCTTGGGTGGGAGAAAAGGAGGTAACAGCATGGTAAGAAGCCAAAGAGAGAAGCCTCCATCTCTGGTCCCTTGAGGTCCTCTCGTGGATCTGCAAAACTCAGCCCTCAATAGGCTTTACCTGCTGTGTAGGGTCTCCTGGCCAAATCTTCAGCAGGTGCTGAGTGGACACATGGCCTCTTCAGTAAGTAGTATTATGAGGTACCTCCATGTGTGGTGATATGTCACTCAAGGCTGGGCCTGAGACTCACTTCAGCCCCCAATCCCTGTGGGACCCTGAGTAGCTCTGATCTTCTACAGCCTCAGTGTCCCCATCTGTTCCATGGCCCCCTGGAGTCATGAAGGGACCTTGCCCATGAGAGTTTGTTTGTGTGGGGGGCTAGGAAGGACCTTCCTTCCAACACAGATCATCTTTGCCACAGTGTGCCAGATTTTTCTTTGGGGCCACCAGCCAGATCCCAAATCATGACACGAAGACTTCTTATTAGTTATGAATGCTCAGCCTACATAGCGTAGGCTCATTTCTGGCTAGCTTTTTTTTTCTTTAACTTAAATTAACCTATTTCTCTTCATCTACATTTTGCCTCGGGTTTTTTACCTTTTCTTTCTGTATATCCTACTTTTCCTGCTTCTTCCACAGCTGGCTGGCTGGCTGGCTAGTTGGCCAGTCGAACAGCCCTGGGCATGTCCCTCTCTTTCTCTTTCCTCTTCTCTCATTCTTCCCAAGCCTAGATTTCTTCTCCTATCTGTTCTCTCTGCCCACCAGCCCTGCCAATCAGGTGCCTTAGGCAGGCAAGGTGAAACAAATGCAACACAACTTCACATAATTAAACAAATGCAGCACAAACAAACGTAACACATGTTTACATTGTTAACAAAGGCAGGAGAAACAAATGTAACACACTTTTACACAGTTAAAGTAATAGTCTACAGCATAAACAAATGGAACATACCTTTGCCTAGTTAAAATACTCTTCCACAACACCACAGTGTACTCTTCTCTGTTCAGATAACTGCCACGTGACTTTTGTGACCCTCAAGTGTGACTCCTCCAAGAAGAGGCGCCGAGGCCGCAAGTCCCCATCCAAGGAGGTGTCCCATATCACAGCAGAGTTTGAGGTGGAGATGAAGATGGATGAGACCTCAGGTGGGTGAAGTGTTCTTGGGGGCTGGGCATCTAGTAGACATGAGGCAGAATGAGCCATAAGGATGTAGAGGATTGTGGGGAGTGCTACACACTGCTGGCCAAGCCCTATAGCCATGGGTGCAGGAAGCAACTCGGTAACACTTGGAAAATAGCTAGGGGACAGAGACAGCATGAGAGCCCCAACTCTGTGTCCCCACTAGGACAGGAAAGACTAGGGCAGAGCATCCCCATAGTGGTTGAGACAGGCCCTCTTCCCAGACATGGGGGGAGGGGCGCTTGTAATACAGGATTGTGCAATCCTTCTTAGCTGTAAGTGAGTGACGAATGATAGGTAAGTGGTTTTGCTTTATTATTATTATTATTATTATTATTATTATTTTATATTTGGTCCTTTTGAGACAGGTTCTCTATGTTATGCAGCCTTGGCTGTCTTGGAACTTTCTATGTAGACCAGGCTAGTAAACTCACCGAGATCCTCCTGCCTCAGCCTCCCAAGAGCTAGGATTAAAGGTAAGTGCCACCACACTTGGCTTGGGTTGTTTGCTCTTAAGACAGGGTCTTATGTAGCTCAGACTGCCCTCAAACCTGATATGCAGTTGAGAATCATCTTCAACTCCTGGTCCTCCTGCCTCCACTTCTTGAATGCTGCACCCACCCTGCCTGGCTCCAGTGGTAGATAGTGACAGAGTTGATTACTGTTGGCAGTTGTGTTTAGTGGTACATGCCTGGTCTTGGCCATGGGCTTTATGGTCCCTGCCCTAGAAGCACTCTCATCTATGGGGAGGCAGAGGTGTGCTGTGAGATAGGTGGAAGGGCTGTGCGAATATGAAGGTCTGGCAGAGCCATGGTCTGACAGGGAAGGAACTGGAAGCCTCCTTTTCTGGGGGACTGGGGGTTCAACACAGGGTTTTTCTGCCCTGACTGTCCTGGAACTCACTCTGTAGACCAGTCTGGCCTCAAACTCAGAGATCTGCCTGCCTCTGCCTCCTGAGTGCAGGGACTAAAGGCGTGTGCCACCACTACCAGCTCTGAAAGCCTTCTAAATGGATTGAAATCAAAGTTAATATGGTAGACGTGTTGGGAATGGGGTTGGGGAGAGGAACAGAAAAGGCACCCAGGTCAGAGAAGAGGATGCTCCCAGGGTGTGGTGAGGAAGAGGAGCAGAGGCAAACAGGAAGCAGAGAGAGAAAGAAAGGGGCCTCAAGTACCCTCGAGGATCTGCCTCCATGGCCTACTTCCTCTAGCTAAACCCTACCACCTACAGTTTCCAGAACCTCTCAAGGTAGCACTGTCAGCGAGGGGGTACACCTTCAGTACAGGAACCTTTATGGAGAAGATACGGGGTGCTGGTGCACATCGGGAGAACAAGCATGTGAAGGCAAAAGGTCAATATACCACCTTTTTTTTTTTTTTTTTTGAGACCAGGTATCACTATTTAGCCCTGGCTGGCCTAGAATTTACTATGTAGATCAGGCTAGCCTCAAAACTCAACAAAGATCCTCTGCTTCCTGAGTGCTAGGATTAAAGGGGAGTAGTCACACCTGACAGGTTCTCTCACTGAACATTGAGCTCCTTGCCTCAATAGGTTTGATGGCCAAAGAGCTCTGGACATTCACCTGTCTACCTACCCCAGTACTGGGGTTACACATCACCTGGTTTGGGGGTTTTGTTGTTATCGTTTTTTGGTTTTGTTTTTCGAGACAGGTTTCTTTATGTAACCTTGGTTGTCCTGGAACTCACTCTGTAGACCAGGCTGGCCTCGAATTCATAGAGCTCTGCCTGTCTCTACCTCCCGTGTGCTGGGATTAAAGGCATGCACCACTGCCCAGCATATCACCTAGTTTTTATGTGGTTACTAAGGATGGGGGGATCAGAACTCAGATCCTCATGATTGCATGTCAGCAGGCAGTTTACCAACTGAGCCATCTCCCAAGTCCTGGAGGACACTTTATATCTAACCATAGCAGAGCTAGGCACTACCTTGGGGACAGTGGCAGTCCTCAAGAATGGGCAGAGGCCTAACTCAGACTCAAGCCTTCTTTGTAGCCTTGAATAGGCCATGCCTCTTTGTTTTGTTTCTGTCAGACACCTCTAAAGCTGCCTACCCCAAACCAACCTAGGTCAATGTGAGAATGTACTGAGCTGGTTTAAACAGAAGCCCAGCACAGGGTCTGGCTTGGGGGAGCCCTCAACAAGTAAGGCATCCATCAGGATGTTAGAGTTACTCTCACTGGGTCCCTTTCACCCCTGCAGACACCTGCGAAGCAGACTGCATGCGGAAGCGTGCTGAGCAAAGCCTGCAGGCGGCCATCAAGACACTGCGGAAGTCCATTAGCCGGCACCAGTTCTATGTCCAGGTCTCAGGCATTGAGTATGAAGTGGCCCAGAGGCCAGCCAAGACACTGGAGGGGACAGGGAAATGTGGCATAGGCCAAATTCTACAGGATGGCAAGTGTGGTGAGTCTCTGCTCCTGACCCCAGACACTGACTCTATCCCTTCTGACACTGGTAACTTAGTAAATGGCAGTGAGCATACAGGGAAAACAGACATGTGGCAGGGACAGAGGGACTGGCCTGCCAAGGAGGAGAGCATAACATCTGCTGTTATCATTGCCGTTTAGAGCATACTTCCTCTCTTCTGGTGCTGGACCAGGTATGTGGTCCTCACCATAGCCCTGAGAAGAGGGAACAGGACAGGACAGCACAGCAGTCACAGAAGTGAGGCATGAGTTCCCAGGGACCAGACTGGGCCCACTATAGTCTGCAGTGTGTGGTTCAGGAGAAGAGGGTGTGTGATCTCAGCCCTCAGGCTGAGGACCTAGGAGGCTGAGCCAGGGCTGAGAAGCACAGTGCTTCCTGGCCCCTTGGGGTACCACCTAAGAATCAGGGAGACCAGGCCCTGAAGGCTATAGGAGAAAGGCTGGAGACAGTAACCACAGCCAGACCCAGGCAGTCTCCCATGGGAATGATCTGTGAGAAGGAACAGATTCAGGGCCAGCACAAGGCTTAGGTGGTGGCCCTCCAGGCAGAGTCTTGGTCCTCATGGGGATTATGGACAGTGAGCAGGTAAGTGTACACAGAGGCAAGATGAAGCTGAAAGGGCAAGGCCTTGCAGCCATAGATGTGACTTTAAGTCCCACATGCTCTACCTGAGTGAGCCTCACTATGTACTCTCGGTCTCCTTGATGCTGACTACAGGGAAGTGACCATGGAAGGAAGGCTAAATGTGGGACAGAGACCCCTGGAAGCAGGTGCCTCACCATCAGGAGAGGAGAAGGGTGTCTAGAGAGAGTTTTGGGTGGGGGTGAGGGCTTCAAGGATATGGTCACTCAAGTCTGGACTCATCCACTGATCCAGAAAGTCAAAGAAAAGGAAGTGGCCTGAGGGACATGCAGAGACTTCCCACCCTGCTCCCAGGGAGGTGCGGAACCGGCCTGAAGAAACAGCATCAGGAGCTCCATACAGAGAATATGATCTACACATGTGCATAAGTTCCATGAGGGGCTTGGGGCTTGGTGATGACATTCTCTTCCTTATCAGGGAATCATTGCCAGTTTTCAGAAACCTAGTCACACACACACACACACACACACACACACACACACACACACACACACACACACACACACACACACACACACACACAAATGGGTTTATTCCAGCCATGGACACTATACAACATCTGTTCCCTGTGCATGCTTTTCTCTCCTCTCGCCCTCTCCCTCTCCCTCATCCTTTCTCTCCCTCTCTCTCTCTCCTCTCTCTTCTCCCTCCCCCTCCCTCCCTCCCTTTCCCTCTCTCCTCTCTCTCTCATCTTTGTCTGTATGTCTTTGTGTGTGTCTGTGCATATGTGTGTATCTGTTTATCTGTCTGCCTGTCTACATCTGTGTATCTGAGATGAAAATGCAGTCCCTACCCATGCGTCCAACTGAGCGGTCTTCCTCAGCCTCCCCTTTACATATCTGTACTCACCTCTGGCAGTGACGAGCATGACTCCCTTTGCCCTTAGTCAGTCCTTTCCTTATGAACATCTTCGGTGGCTCTCCTCAGCCCATCACCCCGGCTCCTCGCTGCCCTGAATCTCTGTGGTACTCCACAATAGTCTGTTCACCATCAGACCCTCTTACCCAGGTCTTCTACTGGTCGTACTGTGTTGTGTCCTTGGGCGCCTGCTCACCCAAACAGGCAGGAAAGAAAGAGGTGTTTTGGGATTGGAAGGTCTAATAGAGACATATAGGGGACGGGGATGTTGGGTAAAAGGCCAGAAAGTCGGACTGAGAGCAGGATGTAGATCAGAGAGACACAGAAGTCCCAATGGAGCCCAGAGACCAGCTGTGGTGAAGCACTTGTGTGAACCACTATAAGAAGGAACAGCAGGGTCCAGCCTATAGGGTCCTCCCGGATGGCTGCCACCTGGGTGGTGCCATATCGCTACTCTTTTGGATAGGCTCTTAAAGCGCCAGCAATAAGGGCTGTGTCCTAACTGCACACAGGGGGTTGGCCCCTGACCACTGTCTCTCACTCTGTCTCTACAGTGCCCTGTGCACCTGGCACCTATTTCAACGGTGAGCCGGGCCAGTGTATGCCGTGTGTGTCAGGAACCTACCAAGACATGGAGGGTCAACTCAGCTGCACGCCATGCCCCAGCAGTGAAGGGCTGGGTCTGGCTGGTGCCCGCAATGTATCCGAATGTGGAGGCGAGTGTGGCTCACCTGGAGGGGGAGGGCTGAGTTGGGACAGGTTCTGGGCAGGGCCCAGCATCCCCTCATGAGGCTCCCAGAGAGAAAGCAGATGCCATGTACAGTCATAAACTGTGACCTTGTCTGAAGCCACACAGTTCCCACATCATCACCACTCTAAGAAAGGCCTTGCAGTGTGCACACACAGTCATGAACAGACCAAGGCGTAGCTTGTAAAGAACACACAAATGCTGAAGTAACACTCCAGGGTCAGTGAAGCACTTCACTCAAACCAGATCAACTTCAGCCAGAACTTACTCTGCATATAAAGAACTTAACGTGTTGTTTGCCCTGTTGGTATCTGAGAAGCCAGTTTTCAATTTACCAGAGGCAGTTGTATTAATATACAGCCATGCCATTTACCCCCTACTCAGCCTCCTCTACAACGTGGGTCAGTGTTCCCCATTGGCCTCTCCTGCTGAGCCATGCCAGGCTTGCTCTAGAGAACACGCACCGAGGGCTCAGCTCTGGGAAGGCATATTGCCCAGGAGGGTGGGTGAATAGATCCCTGAAGGAATGCAGACCTCCAAGCTACTCCTTGATCCTTTGGGCCACCAAGGAATGTGATCCCCAGGAAATGGTAGCTATTAAAGCACATAACAGCTATGGGAGGGGGGAGTCTCCACTGTGATGGAAGCTGAGAATCTCAGGACCTAGATTAAGAGGACATTAAACCCACTTCACTTTGGGACACCTGTGCCCACATGTCTGAGGGAATACTGAGATCATGATGGCTTTTCTGAGGTCCCTCTTTGTCTCAGTAAGGCCCTTGGTTCTCAGAGACCCTACCACCCTCCTCTCCCTGTTCTGGCCTGTCCTGCTGACAGAGCAGACAGCTCAGTCTAGAGCCCTGGGCTATTCCTTCTGTGAGTATCTGAGGTATGCCCCTGGGAAGCTGGGGTATGAACCCCCAAACACACCTCCTCCTCTGTACCCCAGCTTGACAGCGAGGCTCCTCACTCCTCACCAGCCAATGCTGCTGGTGAGAGATGGGAAGTGAGGCCGGCAAGGCCACACAGTAAACTGTCAGCCTCAAGACCCAGAGCCTAGCATCCCAAGTTGCCCATTCTTTGTTCCCACCCACCCTGGGGTACCTTTTCCAGGGAGAGCAGGGACAACCTCTTATAGCCGCAGCACCCCTCCCCTACCTGAGCCGTGACTTCTGACTTCCAGGCCAGTGCTCTCCAGGCTACTACTCAGTGGATGGTTTCAAGCCTTGCCAGGCCTGCCCTGTAGGCACATACCAGCCTGAGCCTGGACGTACCAGCTGCTTCCCCTGTGGAGGTGGGCTGCTCACCAAGCACACGGGGACTGCCTCTTTCCAGGACTGTGAGGCCAAAGGTAAGAGGCCAACTACTCAGAGACACATTCCCTGACACCACTTTCTCCTTCACAAGGCCAACCCCAAAGTCAGAGGAGGGATCTAGAGACTCCAGTAGTCTGGAGTCTGGACATGGGGGACCAGTACCATGTCACACATCAAAAAGAGACAGCAGCTAGACTCAAGCTTACTGAGCACCAGGAATGTCAAAAGGGGGCATACCAGTACCTCAAGGGAGTAGGTGGGCTGTTTAAAGGGGTGGGGGATTTAGATGACAGGAAAAGAGGATGATGGGAGAAGAGGACAGGGGTATAGGCAGGGCAGCATAGCAGAGGGGCCCCCAAGAGCAGCCTCAACCACCCTCCAGGCTTCCCCTCTCCTCTGTACCCAGGCCATCCTCATTCATTGACCCTCCCTTCCACTCCCCTGTCCTACTGGCACTCTGTGACCCTGTGCCTCTAGCCAAGGCCAGGTGGCTGGCCCTTCAATGCCACAAAGCCTGCCATGGGCAGAGGGTCCCCTGACACACAGGCTGCACTACTGTGTCCTCTCCCGCTCAATTCCAGGTGCAGAGCTCTGCAGGCCCACCCTTAGCTCCATTGCCCATTTGCTTTGTAGAAATGTCTGATGTAGCTCTCCACTTTCCCTCCCTTCCTGCCCTGACCCCCTCCAGTCATACTGTCACCCCCATTGCACCCCTCAAGTAAGTTTGGTCCTTACATGGTTGCTGCATGCCCCACTCATCCTTGGTGTGGACAGCATACCTGCAAGCTCTTCCTTGCTCTCACCATGAGGCATACAGCTTGGCCTTACTTACCCCATAATGGTGAAAAAAAATCAGAGGTCTTTTTGGTGAGGAGGGTATAAGGAGCACAAGGCTTCCCCTGCCCTTACCCATCAGCACCCACCCACATGTCCCCTGCAGTGCACTGCTCTCCTGGCCACCACTACAATACCACCACCCACCGGTGCATCCGCTGTCCTGTGGGCACCTATCAACCTGAGTTTGGCCAGAACCACTGCATCACCTGTCCGGGCAACACCAGCACCGATTTTGATGGGTCCACCAATGTCACACACTGCAAAAGTAAGTGACACTCTGGGGAGCGGGGGAGTCCTGGGGCTGGGAATACTGGGTAATGAATGCAGAGGGGGCAAGTGAGACCTGACATTGCTTTCTGAGAGGAGACTGCTGGCCCCTGGCAAGGCGGGCAGCCCATGCTCTGCACACTCTACAGTAAATGTGATTGCACCACAGTTCATAATTCCCCATGCATGCTTGACACTACCTGAGCCTTAACACAGGCCAGACCCTGCTCTAGTTTCTGGGTAGCCAGAGAAAGAAAGCAGATTCTGTGCCTGCAGGTGGAAGGCTGTGAGGCAGCTACCAAGTGCCAGGCCTTCAGCTATACAAGGCACACATCACCTAAGCCATCACCTGGCACCATACAAATGCTTGAAAGCAATGGAAAATAGGAAACTGAGCATGGACCAGTGTGGAAGGGCTGAAGGAGGACCTGATAGACCTTTGGATATTTGAGAGACTTGGGCTCCAAAGGAAAACATGATGCAGAAACCTTGGCCTTTATCTACCAGCCCTCAGATATTGGCACAGCAGTCTTTGGGTATAACAGAATACTAAATTAGGGCTTTAGCTCATTTCATTGTTGTTGTTGTTTATTTGTTTGTTTATTTGTTTTTTGTTTCATTTTGAGGGTCTCTCTATTCAGGGTCTCGAATTTAACCTTGGCTGGCCTGGAACAAACTATGTAGACTGAACTGGCCTCAAACTCACAAAGATCCACCTGCCTCTGCTTCCTGAGTGTTGAGATTAAAAGTGTGTGCCATCATACCTGCATATTTTTGAGTTTCTAGTTTTCACCCTTCCCCCAATAAGTTCTTAGTTCCTCCCCTAGCTGCTGGTCACATCTGGAACCACCAAGAAGCCTAAAAAGGTTAATGGTTTGGTCACTCCTTTGTCCAGATTGTCCCCAACATTGCCATATCTGTCAAATACAAAGGAGTTACCCTCAGACACAGTGTTTTAAAGATTAATTAAATATTATATTTAACTGAAAAAAATCAACTTAAAAATGTTTTAATGAGTAAAGGTGGGGAAGCCAGATGTGATGGAAGATTCTAGAACACTGGAGGCAAAACTGTTTCTCAGAAACTTATTTTAGATAGGATCTCACTGTGTAGACCAGGCTGACCTAGAATTCATAGAGATCCACCTACCAATGCCTCCCAAATGTTGGGTTTAAAGGCATGCACCAACATGCCCAGCTCTCAGAAACTTGGCAATGAAAATGCACAGGAAATTTACCAATATTTACTATTTATATCAATTCCCTTTGAAGAACAAAAGTGGTAAGTTTAAAACTAGGAACCATCTGGGGCATAAAATGTTATACCACAGTCAGACATGGTAGCACATGTCTTTAATCCCAGCACTTGGGAGGTAGAAGCAGGCAGATCTCTTTGAGTTCCAGGCTAGCCTGGTCTACAGAGCAAGTTCCAGGGCAGCTAGGACTGTTACACAGAGAAACTCTGTCTTAAAAAAAAAAAAAGTTACATCTGGCCTTTCTAGATGAACAGTTTAGTTGGAAAGAAAATAAAGAAGCTGGGCAGGCACATACCTGTAACCCAAGCACTCAAAAGGCTGAGAAAGGAGAATCTCAAGTTCAAAGCCAACCTGACCTACACAGTGAGAATCCTGTCTCAAAAGGTTGGGAGGGAGGATGGTTCAGGTAAAGACAACTGTTGCCAAGTCTAAGGACCTGAGTTCAGTCTCTGGGAGCCAAATAGTGGAAGTTGTCCTGACTCAATGTGAAAACCATGGCACATACTCACACACACACACACACAATGAGCAAACAAACACCCTAACTTAAAATGAGGAGGCTAGGGACCTAACTCAGTTGGTAGAAGCCCTAGGTTCCATCTCCAGCACCACATAGACCTAGCTTAGTGGCACACACCTGTAATCCCAGCATTTGGGAGGTGGATGCAGGAGGATCAGAAATCCAAGGCCATCCTTAGCTACATATCAAGTTTGAAACCAATCTGTACTACATATGACCCTGTCCTCAAAAAAAAAAATAGTGGCAGGAGAATGATGGAAAGGTTGGGTTCTCTGTGTAGCCCACCTGCTTTTATCTGCACATTCACCCCTGCACTGCCCTGCCTCAGGTAGGCAAGGCCACTATGGCCAGTGCCTGGAGGGATTTAATGGGGCTAAGAAGTACATGTCAAGAAATACAAAGTGAGTGGAAATTGAATAACATCCAATTATACCATTCCTGGGTTGAGGAATAAATTAAAAAAAGGAAATTAAAGACTTCCTGGAATTTAATTTCCTGAGTTCAATTCCCAGCAACCACATGGTGGCTCACAACCATCTATAATGAGATTAATGAGATCTGGTGCCCTCTTCTGGTGTGCCAGCATACATGCAGGCAGAACACTGTATAGATAATTAAAAAAAAAAAAAAAAGTGAGGCTTCATTTGACCTTTCGACTGGGGGCACATCTGGGATGTGAAGCTATCTGGGAGCAGACAGCCTACAGAACACTGAGGGTGATAAAAGCTAAGACACAAAGTCACAGAGCGGCCTGTGCTGGGTGAGGGAGGCTTGCTCATAAGAAAGAAAAGCCTGGGCTGGATGTCAGGGAACCCAACAGTGTCAGCTGAGGACCTGCCCTCTGGTTAGACAACAGCAATCCAGTCAGGACCCCTGCCTGCTCCCCCGTGAGTCAGCACAAGGCCTGACTAGCTGGCATGGGACCACCTGCTGGCCCTTCCCTGTACCTCTACTGCCTTTAGGGCTAGACCACCCATGCAGTCAGCCTGACAAGTCACTTGACTGTGGTACCCACAGACCAGCACTGTGGTGGCGAGCTTGGTGACTACACAGGCTATATCGAGTCCCCCAACTACCCTGGAGACTACCCAGCCAATGCCGAGTGTGTGTGGCACATCGCGCCTCCCCCCAAGCGCAGGATCCTCATTGTGGTCCCCGAGATCTTCCTACCCATCGAGGATGAATGTGGTGATGTCCTGGTCATGAGGAAGAGTGGTATGTTCTGGGTTTGGGACTGGGATAATAAGACCAGATAGCCCATGTGCCCAAGCCCTTCTCCAGATTGGTTTAGCGCCACCTGGTGGAAGGGGGAGGACTCAGACAGCAGGTGAGTCCAAGGCACAAAACTACACTGCTGGTCTGGAGCTAGACCATCTGTAGATAGAAGACAGGTGGGAGGAAAAGGGGGTAGCTCTGCCATAGGTCCTGTGTGGCTTTGTTGCCTTGTGCATATACTATTTGCTGGTTGGCTGACAGGCCAGAAAAGCCCCAGTATACAAACGGAGGGTTGTAGCCAGAAGGAGTAAGGGGCCCACCCAGATGGTCAGAGCCCAGAGCCCAACCTGGAACTCCCTCCTCCATCCATGCCTATCACTAGTCACTGTTCTCTATGAGCATTGGGGATGCAACCCGGAGTTTACCCTTGTCACTCAGCCCCAGGTGAGAGGACTTTCTAAACCTGAGCTTCAGGTGGTCTTGGTCCATGCTGACATCTCCTGAGCTCGTCCACTGTCCCTGTCATGAAGGAGCCATGAGCCTGAGGGAGACAGAGAGACTGTAATGGGGGACTCAAAAGAGTAACAGTAACATGACAGGAGGCAAGAAGCAGCAGAGAGACTTTATGGGCAGGGTGTGGAAACAGGCCTCAGAAGGATGAGGCAAGCAGAACAAGGTCAAGGGCAGGGTGGGACAGAGGAACAAAGGAGCTGGGTGTTCTAGTGCTAGAGGCAGACGTGGGGCGGGAGGCTGACTTGAGGCAGCACTGAAAAGGCCTGCATCCCTGCAGCCTCACCCACGTCAGTCACCACCTATGAGACTTGCCAGACCTATGAGCGGCCCATCGCCTTTACCTCCCGCTCCCGAAAACTCTGGATCCAGTTCAAATCCAACGAAGCTAACAGCGGCAAAGGGTTTCAAGTGCCCTATGTCACCTATGATGGTAAGGCACCACCATCTTGTCACAGCCTACTCTGTGCCAGCCAAGGCCTGGCTTGGGGACTCAGAAATGAGTTGTACATCTCTGCCTCTGACCGGGCACAAACCCAGAGACAAAATTAAGGTCTGGGCAATATGGAAACCCAAGGGGTGGGGGGTACAATCGAGAGAGGGGACCATTGGTGCTGTCTGTGGGCTTCACAGATGGTCCTGCCCCACCAGGGTTTGCAAGGTTAAATAGGGTCAGCTAAGCCACCAGGAGGACAAAGCAGGTGGAGGGGACCCCAGAAGCAAAGGCCAAGAGACAGTGCTATACCCAGCCACCACCAGCTGTCCAAGGCGGGTCCAGGGAGCTGGGGAGGGTAGAGGAGGGAGGAGTAAGGTCTCAAGCTCGCCCCCCCACCTTCCCTCTCCCTGCTGGCCTGCTCCCAGAGGACTACCAGCAGCTAATAGAAGACATCGTGCGCGATGGGCGCTTATACGCCTCGGAGAACCATCAGGAGATTTTGAAAGTAAGTTTTTTGGAAGGGAACCCCTGTGACTCTAGGAGAATGGTTGAGGCCATCCCTGCCCTTGCCCTGACTCCTGACCCCTAGAGAAGGGACGGGAAGAGGGTGTTGGGTCAAGGGCCCTGACATCAGACTAGATCTCGACTGTCTGCCACCATCATCATCACCACCCCCAGTCCACGAGATTTGAGACAAGCTGGCTACCAGGGAGATGGGGACCAGGACCCAGTGAAGTGCTTTGGCTGAAGTCCTCGGTCTCACATTTCTGTCTGTGAAATATGGGTGCTCCTACAGACAGTGTCTCAAAATCAGTAGAGTCAACCACTGCCATTGGGCGTGGACTCCTTCCTTCTCATCCTGCCTACTGCCTTGAGAAGCTGGACACCATGTCATAGAGGGCAAACTGACTGTCACACACACACAGGCACTAGCCCAAAGCCCGGAGGATCCGGCTCTCACTGAATGGAATCAGTCCTAGAAATCAGCTTGGGCTTAGTGGGCCCTGGCTCAGGGAGGCCCCTCTTGATGGTAGTTCCCTCAGCCTAGGGGAATGAAAACAGGATGGAACCACATCCCCCTAACCCGTTCCCTCTCGCCATACCTTCTATTCCACCAGGTGGCGCTGGGGTGCAGAAATGGTTTGCCGGGCACAAGGCTGGCCAGCTGCCCTCAAGCTCCTGGTTCCTCCTGGAGGTGCCATTTGGTTTAGGTAGAAACCAGATCCCCTGCCTGTCCTCTGTCCCACAGTGTCCCCCATGTTTTACAGGACAAGAAGCTGATCAAGGCTCTCTTCGATGTGTTGGCACACCCACAAAACTACTTCAAATACACAGCTCAGGAGTCCAAGGAGATGTTCCCTCGGTCCTTTATCAAACTGCTACGTTCCAAAGTGTCTCGATTCCTGCGGCCCTACAAATAGCCAGCCAGCTGTCCTGCTTGGGGATAGTGGGAACCAGGGGGGAGGGGAGCGTGCCTTCCCTCTATAGCAGGAGCTGAAAGGGGGCTCCATGGGCCTCCAGGTTGCCTTGGGAAACCCATGACACCTGCCTCTGGCAAAGCCATCCAGCCTGTACCAGTTCATGGAAGGCCTAAACCCAGCCCAGACCCCTTGGGTGGGTCTGCCAGCCCTGTGTGGAAACACTACTTCAGAAAGCCTTCCCCTACCCTTTGCCTCGATTTCCCAGGACACCCAGAGCATTCTCTCCTGAACCAGCCCAGTGGGCCTATCTGGGCCAGGACACGCTGTACCCACCATGTGGGGAACAGGACTACTGTGCCCTTGGCCTGATGTGGTGGGAGAGAGGAAGGTGGCCAACACCCTGCAGGCTCTGGAAAGCCTGGGCCATTGTCACTCACACAGGGCCAGGTCAGGCCAGGAGGGGTGTGTGGAGGTGCCATCTGAGGGGGGTTGATAAGCTCATGCCAGTGCCTGTGGGACCACCACACCCTGCCAATTCCTCCAGCCACAGGCACAGGACACAAAGCCAGATCATGGGGCTCAAGGAACTCTGTGAGAGATGGAAAGGTCCTCCAGGAGAGGAATCCATGAGCTTGTGCTTTGCCTTAATAGAACATCTAATGAAGTTTTATATATATATATATATATACATATATATATAAATATTAAATATATATTCTTCTCTGTGTGGGCAGGTACTATAGAAGGGTTCTCTTCAGCAGCTGTAATATTAACCACTGTTGCTGGCCTCCTCTAGTAATTGAATGGCACCTCCCAACACTTGCCACCTCTGTGTAGGGGAGGCCAAGTGCCCACTCCCCCTGGCTTGGGGAGGAGAACACAGACATCCTTGAACATGCTGTGGAATGTGACTTCTTAGAGGTTGGACTAGGTGTTGTGGTGAAGCACTGACTGGGGGTTGGGGGGGGGGCTTTATAAGCAACATCACTGCCCTCAACAGACCACAATGGAAAGCAGACGCCGCCTCCCTCCCTTCGGTACTGGCACTCACTGACTCTGCACTGTGCCTGCAGGTCACCAGAAACAAGGCCTTCCTCAGGGATTTGCAGGCTGTGCTCAGAGAGCAGCTTCCACTATCTACTGCAACGGGAGGAGAAAGCAAGGCCCAGAGAGGAGGCCTCCCTGATGCTTCTTAAGTCTCTCAAAGAGAAGAGCCCCTGTGTGGATGAGCTGAATGGCATCCCACTGGCTGGGGAGTCACCCCCTCACACAGAGATCCTGCCCGTGCCTCAGACTGCTTGCTGCCAGCTGTCAGATACACACAGAAACTGGTCTGTATTTTTTCAAATTAACAGATGGAGGAACATGGGAGAATCTCGACATGAACTCCAAGGTTTCCTGGTCCCTGTCCTACACTGATGACATAAATGAGCTGTTTCAGAAAACACATGTGGCTTATTGAAGATTGGAGGTGTTTGGGCAGGTAATGAGTGGGCAGGGGAGCCAGGCCTGGAGACCCATAGCTTGATGACAGGGCACAACAAACACATCTGAACTTCCTTGGAACTCAGGGACAAGGTACTGTCACCACACAGGTCGACAAAGCAGAAGAGATCACTAGCGGCCACCACTCTCTTGTGGAGAGCAGCAGATGGATGGAATTTCTGCACTTGATAGTAGGTCAGGGTCGGGGCCTACTGCATTTCTGCAGTTCACAATCCCTGCAGCCCAGCTGTACCAGGGAGAAGCTTCCTGTCTTTCTGTTGGGCCACTGGTCATCCCCAAGGGACCAAGGTCCCCCAGAATGAACCCAGCAACACTCACTATCTCCAGGAAAAGGAAGTAAACAAGGACACACGTGGAGACTCACTAGGAGGGAACTATGGAAAACAGTTCAGAAAATGATGGCACCCAAGAAGTTCTTCAAGCTGTCATCTGCAAGATGTCCTGGAGAGCCAGGACAACTGGCAGTATTCAAACCAGAGATACCTGGAACCAGTGTCTGAGCCAGGAGCACTGTGTTGGTTGGCTGCCCCAGGCCCAATAAATTTGCCCTCCCTCCACTGCAGGATGCCACCAACTTAGGTGAGGAAGGGCTTTTCTTTAGCTCCTGGTTCATATGCTAATTAATCTTTTCCAGGATACCACCATCATTGCCCTGCTGTGCCATGAGAAGCATTTAGGGGCTCAGCACTGCCCAGTTAACTTGACATATCAAATTAACCAAACAACTTTAGGGCTTCAGGTTCAGTTTTTAATCTTCTCAAAAACCAGAAAACAGAGTTCTAGATTTCTCCTAAGGCCTGTCTATAACCCCTGAGTGACTTTTGGCAGTTGCCACCTCTATGCCCATCAACACACCCAAATATCTCCTCTCTCCAGAGTGCCTACCCCCACTGTGGCCATATCATGTCCAGTGTCCCCTGAGTTGGAACACGTACAGTGCAGTCCAGGTCCCTCATTCTCATGGTCAAGCCTGCCCTTTTGTAGCTCTCATTCTCCCCTAAAAAAATAGCCCCCAAAGCCCTGGCACCTGGCAAAGGCAAAGAGGACCTGTGTCTCTCCAGCTTCATTTGTGCTTGGTTCTGCTCCTGGTAGAGCTTCACACCCGAGGCAACCTAATGACCTCTGTGGATGTGTGAGAAAAACCAAGTTGTCCCTGAGTTCCAGGAGATGGTCACCACGTGAGACCTGGAATTGAGGGCACCCCAGTAGGATAACTCAAAAGCCTTCCTGGCTTGTATTCCTGGTACCTCTCAGCACTTAACTTGGCAGTACCCACCTGAGGAAAGAAAGAAACCTGCCCTGAGGGCTGTTGGTCAGCCCAGCCCTCCACTCGTGGGCAGCAACAGTGGGGTATGTCCTCTTCCACTCAGAAAGAGCATTTTAATTGTCCCGGTCATTTGTATTGGTTACAGAGCCTCAGGGCTGTGGCTACAACACACTTCTCACCCTGGCTCCTTTTCCTAACTCTCAAGCAGCACAATCAGGGGGCACTTGTGGCCCCCAATGGGCATCACACTGGCTACTGGTGGTGACTACTTTCTCAAACTCTGGCTCCCCCAGGGCAGTTTTTCTTAGCTCCTTCCTCACATTGAGTGGTCACAGATACTCAGGGGCCAGCCCAAGATAGAGACCTTGACCACCTTTCCTCTCCTGACATCTTTTAGTTTGGACACACAGATACATAGAACCAAAATACAAGCCCCAAATCCTGGTTCAAGAGCTTTACTAAGGAGCCTGCTCACCCACCTCTGCCTTCTACAAAAAGGAGGCCCTGGCTGGTCAGGCTTGGGTAGACCCTAAACTGACACATGGAAGCTGAATGTCTTCCACAGCCTCCTCCCGTCCCACCCCTCAGCAGAAAAACAAGGACCTTAAATTAGTTGGGCCATTCAGCAAACATTTACTGGGTACCTACTGTATGCCAGACTTCTAGAAGGGATGACTGGGGAACAATATGAACACAAACAACAGCCTACCTAGGACAGCAGCCCTGCCCCATGTATGTTCATCTGTGACATTACCTGGAAGCCAGGAGGGCCAGTGCTTTCTTCTTGCCCTGGGACTAGCCTGGAAAGTGTAACTGACCTGGCAAGCACTGTACAGCTTTGCTTCACCAAAGATGCAGAGTGGTAGCCCAACCCTTCTGCTCAAGCAGGCAGCACCCGGCTGATGCCACTCAGACTGAGACTGAATGACTTGTGAGTGAAAACGACCGTCAAACACAGAAGCAGCACAGATAGCTCCTCTCCAGGGCATGACAGCACTGGGTGGGCTTCACCCTACTCAACCTGTCAGAACTTCTGTCAAGGTACAAGGTTGGGGGTATGCTCTTCAGGGCCTGGACAATGTGGCATAGCCTGTGCTCTCCCCCAACACCCAGTTTAGACAGCTCCCAACATTGGGTCTTTTGCTGGCTGCAGTCTCCCCAGCCTGCAACCAGCCATGCCAGCACAAAAGCCTGGATGGAAGCTCTGAAAGTCTGCACTCCTATGACTCAACAGGAAGCAACCAAGGCCAGGCAAATTCACACCCCTTCAGTCTCGAGCCAGCTGAACCCTCTCTGCCCAGGGCCCCCATCCCTGTAACAAGAGTGGGGCTGAACCCATGGTTCAGGCCTATTATTAGACTCTGAGAGACCAAGTAAAGTGCCCTAAATGAAGAGTGAGGAGCAGGAAGAGTTAATGTGGATTCTGGTGGCATCCCTTCCTTCTATACACACACTCAGAGAAAGGATGAACTTGGCGTCTCTTCACCATCCAGACATGAACTGTCACCACCACCTACAATGCTTGCACTGACCCAGAGGCCCTGGGCCCTGCACACAAGAGAGGGCCAGTGCATGTCAGTGCAAAGGCAGAAGCAGCCAGGCTCTCAAACAGGTCTGTCAGAAACCACAAGCTTTGCCGAGGTCAGAGACATGTGCACCCAGAAGCCATCCACACTGCTCTAGAGAAGAATGCACTCTGCCCCAGCCTTTGCCCTGGCCTCCAAACACAAGCCATCTGTCCAGGCACTGGGTGGCAGTCCTAAGACACACTGACTAATATCCATGTAACCACATTTGCCTTCCAGCTGCCTCAGATATTCCAAGCTTTTCTCTACCATGTTTCCCCCTATGCATGTAATTAAACACTTGTGGGAATAATTTTAATAATAAACAGGAAATGAGCCTAAGAACTGTCTATTTCTCATTTTCTTTTGAATTATGGCTGAGTGTATATAAGGGAAAGGCCACTGGAACCCAGAAAAGCAAGCAAGAAATGAGGGCCTTGAACTTTTGAAGCTTCTGCCTTCAGATTCCATTCCAAAAACAAGTTTCAGAAGAATATATATCTGGTCTTATGACGGGAAAGATTTCTTAATTATTTTTGTAAAGATTTTATTTTATGCCAGGTGGTGGTGGTGCACACTTTTAATCCCAGCACTCAGAAGGCAGAGGCAGGAGGGTATCTGTGTGTTCAAGGCCAGCCTGAGCTACAGAGTGAGTTCCAGGACAGGCTCCAAAGCTACACAGAGAAACCCTGTCTCAAAAAAACAAAAACAAAAATATTTTATTTTACGTGTGTGTGTGTGTGTGTGTGTGTGTGTGTGTGTGTGTGTGTGACTACCAGGAAGGTACAGCTATTTTTGTGGTTTGACTGGGAGCAAGGTAGGTTGTTTTTGGTACC